ATGACAACAGGAAAATGCAAACTCCCTTCCTGTAAGCTTTTTCACCCTGAAATGTGTCCCTGCTCAGTACAGGAAAGACAGTACTATAACTTAAATTGCCAGGCACACCATCTAAAGGAGACAAAAAGATACAAAACATCCAGACCATGGGAAAACCTGGGTAGCCACAACCACTCAAGAGGGAGAGGTTTTCTTAGTGCCAGGAAGGAAAAAAAAAACTAGCAGGAAATGGCAGAAATTGTACACCAAATCGTTATTTCTGGAGTGGAATCACAGTCGATGGCCTCCACTCCAAACCAACAGATACAGATATTGGTGCCGCAAAAAGTCCCCCTCCAGTACCACCAATCTGATGACATTCTTTGCAAATATACAGGGTCTCAAGCCAGCAACGAACAACAGAATACCTTTCATCTGTGGACTGCTTGCAGAGACAAATGCAATATTCGCGGCTTTCACAGAGACCCACATAAAGGATCACTTGGACAACGAAATACAGATCCCAGGTTATAACCTAAACAGTTACGACAGAGTGAACAGGCAAAGGGGGGGGGGGGGAGATTTGGCCTGTATATCACAGAGTTGCTTATTTGCACAGAACTGCTTAATGCTTCAAATGATGTAGTGGAAGTTTTGGCAGTAAAGATAGAGAACCAAATCCTAGTCATTGTGGTAGTCTACAAGCCTCTGGATGCAACGTCCCAACAATTCCAGGAACAGCTGTTGAAAATTGACCACTGTCTGTAAAACCTTCCAGCTCCTGCCCCCAACATCTTGCTCCTGGAGGATTTCAACTTAAGGCACCTAAAATGGAGGAATATAGCAAATAATGTTGTTGCAGTGATAACACCAGGAGGCAGCTCAGACGAGAACTCACACACACACACACACACACACACACACACACACACACACACACACACACACACACACTTTTAAATCTCTGCACAAAATTCAACTTAAACCAGCAAATAATAGAACCTACTAGACTGGAGAATACACTGGACCTCATCTTCACTAACAATGATGATCTGATAAGAAATGTCACCATATCAAAAACAATATACTCAGATCACAACAGAATCGAGGTTCAGACATGTATGTGCGGAGCCCCAGACTGACAAAATGAGATAAGTCACGAGGGAGCATTCACCAAATTCAACTTCAATAACAAGAAAAAAGTGGGACCAAGTAAACCAAGTCCTAAACGATATAAGCTGGGAAGATAGACTAAGCAACACGGACCCCAACTTAAGCCTAGAACAGATTAACGCTGTGGCATTATGTATGCTCAAGGCTTATTTCTTTAAGAAATAGTAGTAGTTGTCCTAGGTAGTAGGTTGGTAGACAGCAACCGCCTAGGGAGGTACTACCGTCCTGCCAAGCGAGTGTAAAACTGAATCCTGTAATTGTTTTACATGATGGTAGGATTGCTGGTGTCCTTTTTTTCTGTCTCAAACATGCAAGAATTCAGGTATGTCTTGCTACTTCTACTTACACTTAGGTCACACTACACATACATGTACAAACATATATATACACACCCATCTGGGTTTTCTTCTATTTTCTTTCTAGTTCTTGTTTATTTACTCTTACCTCCTTGGGGAAGTGGAACGGAATTCTTCCTCCGTAAGCCATGCATGTTGTAAGAGGCGACTAGAATGCCAGGAGCAAGGGGCTAGTAACTTCTGTATATATTACTAAATGTAAAAGGAGAAACTTTCGTTTTTCCTTTTGGGCCACCCCGCCTCGGTGGGATACGGCCGGCGTGTTGAAAGATAGTAGTAGTTGTAAAACAGAAAGACAGGCACTCCCTTTACAGGCGACGGAAAAGAATAAGAGCGGCTAAAAGAGGCCAATATATTTGAAATGCGTAGGGAGACACTGGTCAGAGAAATAGCAAACATCGAACTTAAGCTAAAGGAATCTTATAGGAGTCAGGAATCGAGGGAAGAACTGAAAGCCATAAATTAAATAAAAATAAACACAAAGTATTTCTTTTCTTATGCCTAATCAAAGTCGAGAACAACGTCCAGTATTGGGCCCCTACTTAAACAAGATGGGTCCTACACAGATGACAGCAAGGAAATGAGTGAGCTACTCAAGTCCCAATATGACTTAGTTTTTAGCAAGCCTCTAACCAGACTGAGTTGAAGATATAAATGAATTTACGAGAGCCACAGAATTTGGTAAACACCCGGCGCCAAATGACTGAACAGGCGATAAATGACATGCCCATGCACTCTGCCCCAGGGCCAGACTCTTGGAACTCTGTGTTTATCAAGAACTGCAAGAAGCCCCTATCACATGCTTTTACCATCGTATAGAGAGGGAGTATGGACACTGGGGTCGTCCCACAGTTACTAAAAACAACAGACGTAGCCCCACTCCACAAAGGGGGCAGTAAGCAATGGCAAAGAACTACAGACCGATAGCACTAACATCCCATATAAAAATCTTTGAAAGGGTCCTAAGAAGTAGGATCGCCACCCATCTAGATACCCATTAAATTACACAACCCAGGGCAACATGGTTTAGAGCAAGTCGCTCCTGTCTGTCCCAACTACTGGATCACTACTACAAGGTCCTAGATGCACTAGAAGAAAAAAAAATGCAGATGTAATGTATACAGAATTTGCAAAAGCCTTCAACAAATGTGACCATGGCATAATAGTGCACAAAATGCATGATTAAGAAATAACAGGAAATGTTGGTAGATGGATCTATAATTTCCTCACAAGCAGAACACAAAGAGTAGTAGTCAACAGAGTAAAGTCTGAGGTGGCTACAGTGAAAAGCTCCATTCCTGAAGGTACAGACCTTGCTCCCATCTTGTTTCTCATCCTCATATCTGACAGACAAAGATGTCAGCCACAGCACCGTGTCTTCCTTTGCAGATGACACCCAAATCTGCATGACAGTGTCTTCCATTGCCAACACTGCAAGGCTCCAGGCGGACATCAACCAAATCTTTCAATGGGCTGCAGAAAACAATATGAAGTTCAACGATGAGAAATTTAAATTACTCCGATATGGTAAACACTAGGAAATTAAAACTTCATCAGAGTACAAAACAAATTCCAGCCACAAAATAGAGAGAAAAACTAACGTCAAAGACCTGGGAGTGATCATGTCGGAGGATCTCGCCTTCAAGGGCCATAACATTGTATCAATCGCATCTGCTAGAAAAATGACAGGATGGATAATGAGAACCTTCAAAACTAGGGATGCCAAGCCCATGATGACACTCTTCAGGTCGCTTGTTCTATCTAGGCTTTAATATTGCTGCACACTATCAGCACCTTTCAAGGCAGGTGAAATTGCTGACCTAGAAAATGTACAGAGAACCTTCACGGCGAGCATAACAGATATAACACCTTAATTACTGGGAGCGCTTGAATTTCCTGAACCTGTACTCCCTGGAATGCAGGCGGGAGAGATGCATGATTATATACACCTGGAAAATCCTAGAGGGACTAGTACCGAACTTGCACACGAAAATCACTCAACGTAAGCAAAAGACTCGGCAGATGATGCAACATCCCCAATGAAAAGCAGGGGTGTCATTAGCACCTTAAGAGACAATACAGTAAGTGTCAGGGGCCCAAGACTGTTCAACTGCCTCCCAGTGTACATAAAGGGAATTACCAATAGACCCCTGGCAGTCTTCAAGCAGGCACTGGACAAACACCTGAAGTCGGTACCTGACCAGCCGGGCTGTGGCTCATACGTTGGATTGCATGCAGCCAGCAGTAACAGCCTGGTTGATCAGGCTCTTATCCACCAGGCAGCCTCGTTACAGACCGGGCCGTGGGGGCGTTGACCCCCGGAACTCTCCAGGTAAACTCCAGGTACCAGAATGTTACCCAAAGGTAGCAGGTTGGAAGAGGTGTCTGAAGGCATGCCAAGGTCTGTAAAAGGTGCCACAGGAAAGGGTTTGGGAGGAGGGAGGTCATGGTTAAGGGGTTGCCATAAGTTTCCCTTAAAAAAAAAAAAAAAAAACTGGGGAGGGAGGACAGAGTAGCAGCTCCTAGGAGGCCTGAAAGGGTTGTATATCCCCCTCCTTGCCCAAGGGACTCAGTGCAGATGCAGTATAGAACCTGTGCCATAGCCTACCTGTCATGTTGGTAAAGCAGCTATCTAGTATAGCAACCCCACATCCACTGAGTCACCTCAGTGGACAAAAGAGGGCGGTTGGAAACCCACCACAAGGCATACCTCCTTCGACCATCACCTCCTGGAATCCAAGAGGCAGCTTCCTGAGATACGCCTGTAATCCAACTGACATCGTAACCCGACCCCTGGGTTGTCCTAATAACCCCTGGAGGGGTTATTAGGACATTCCCAGATGATCCAGATTCCCTGGCAAACACCACCTAAAGCTTCAATGGAATGGGCAGGATATTGATACCCTTTACACAACCAAGGAGCTAGAATGACCCCAAAAAGTCAAAAGCAGGAAAGGAGAAATGGGGAGGATGGGACAGGGAAAGGGGGAATAGGGGGAGGTAGTTAGGTTCAGTCAGAGGAAGTAGACCAAAAGTCTCTTTACCACGGCAAGAAGACCCCCTCCCCTCCCCTCTTTACCACAGCAATAAATACCCATCCCTGTTGAAGAGGATTTCATATAAAGCATGCATAGTACTACAGAAAATTAATTTATTAATAGAAAGTGCTAAACCTGTTGGGGTGATACAGCCCCTTGGGAATGGGAGGCAGACAGATTTGATCTAAGGAGTTGGGTTAAACAAAATTAAAAGTAAATGATAAATCCAGTCGTGCAGGGCTATGGTGGGATGTATGGAAACTGCAGGTTCAAGCTAGATGTGAAAACAAAAACCATGGTGTAAAAGGTCAGTTCATAAAAAAATGACATTTGTCTGGTTTGAAAGGTCAAGCTTACAGCAAGAAAAGCATGACTGTGTTGTCTCTAAAGTATATTCTACATGTCCTCCAGATCAACAGTTACCTTGGTTTTAGTGATGGAAGAAAAAAATAAGTTTTCTTTATCCACGATTCAATTTAATAAGAAAAATTTTAACCATTAGAACCTAAAAGAGAAAAAACATTTTAATAGAAAACTAAAATATTCACTCAAGTTTTATTCCATTCTAGTAAAAGCAACAATTGTTGATAGTCGACCTGACCCGTCTCAAGAAGTGAGCACATTTACTTTTAAAATATACAGCTGTTGTAAGGCATCTGTACCATGAAAATTAATCTTGAAATGTTACCAACAGAATTGAGAGGTAGTAAATATTTAAGATTATCATTCATAAATGAATGGAGAAAAATTCTTGAGATAATACAATAAAACATAACATGATACCAGCAGCAGGAGTAAGAGACCACACTTTCAAATTATGCAGTAGAAATAAGGGACAAATTTCTTAAAGAATTTTACAGTCTTAAAAAGGTTCAATTAAGAATTAGAGCTCCCTTGAAGAATATGAAAAATTTATATAATGAAAGTATTAAAGTGATCTCAAAAGCTTTAATAAGAAATCACACACAAAAAAGTATCTTGTCGTGCTCTTGACAATTTTCTTCAATGCAGTTTTCAAATATTTTCTTTGTGACATTAATTTTCTTTCCCTGGGTCACTGTCCTTCATTCATCTCTGGGAACCTTCGCATCCTTTTCTTGCCTTTTTTTTAATAAATCCAATACCATTCCATCTAATCTGTTATATTCATCAATTTCTAGATCTTTTTTTAAGCCATTTTGTTGCTGCCTCATTCATTCTTGTCATCCTCTTCCTCAGTTACTGTATCAATGACCTTTGCAACACCAACACCCACAGCTGCCCCAGCACCAGCTAAGCCAGCTGTTGCAGCTGCACCAATACCTGCAGCACCTGCTGACTGTAGAACTGCCACCTATCAAGAGACCAGAAATTTAAGTATGCTAATACCAATACAATCAATCATTGTAGCAAATTCCATAACATGAATTTATTAACCACAATGGCATTTTTAGATAATGATCTAACATGCAGTTTATGTACAGGGTTCTGATTATTATATATTTATCTTCTTGTAATATACTGTATTGAATGCAAGTATCAGCATATGTCAATACATTTACCATAAAGGGAATACTCACCACACTGCCAGCAGCAACTGCCCCACCATTAGCTATGGCAGCAGAAGACATCATGCCGGCAGCCATGGATCCAGCAGCAATACCCGCCGAGGTGAACCCCACAGCTGTAAGTTTATGAACTACTGTATTGGTAGTGTTCATGCCATCAAGGAAAACATCACAATCTCAATGGAAGTCAGCCACTATCCACTGAATTGTCCTAGGCAAAATTTACCACACAGTTAATACCTGCCTACTAAATCTACAGTATGTATGTGCATTCTACAAGAATGGTATACAATACCGACAGATGAAGATTTAGACAGGAGCCGTGTCTCGACCCCTGCAACCACAATTAGGCGAGTACATGTGCAACATCTGGGTATCTTTATTGTACATATTTCACCATCCAGTGGCTTCATCAATAAAGGTTCTAGGACATAATTTGAAGACAGAAGAACTATATACAAAAGATGAGGTAATCATCAATGGAGTTGGTGTGAAACGCACCGTAGTCGTATAGATTCTACATAACTATGGTGATCTTCACACCAACTCCATGGCTGAGGGAGTGATTACCTGGAGTTTACCTGGAGAGTGTTCTGGGGGTCAACGCCCCTGCGGCCCGGTCTGTGACCAGGCCTCCTGGTGGATCAGAGCCTGATCAACCAGGCTGTTACTGCTGGCTGCACGCAAACCAACGTACGAGCCACAGCCCGGCTGATCAGGAACCGACTTTAGGTGCTTGTCCAGTGCCAGCTTGAAGACTGCCAGGGGTCTGTTGGTAATCTTTTGTATATAGTTCTACTGTCTAGTTCTATGTCCTAGAATCTGTATTGATAAAGCCACTGGATGGCTAAACGTCTACAATAAAGATACCCAGATGTTGCACATGTGTCTAAATCTTCATCAGTATGTACCTTCAGAACCATGTACACATTTTTGATCAACTATACTGTCTAACATGCCCTGAATATAGCTTATCCTATCCAAGGACATACACAGGACAACCGACCTGTTTTAAATTAGATATTGTGTTGGTGTGCTATGTTTATGTTGCAAAATAAAGTACCATATTTAAGCCCTTAAACTGTCCAAACAGATCTATGTTCACATGCGTAGTGCTCCAAAAGTAGATCTACGTTTTTTGTTTTTTACATATTTTCAAACATATAAAAAAAAATAGATCAAAGTTGTTTTTGCACGTTTTCAAATAAAAAAAAGATTTACGTTTTTTACATACTTCCAAATGTTGAAAAAACGTAGATCTACGTTTGGACACTAAGGGTTAATAACTCCCTGGTTGGTAGACAGCAACTACTCAGGGAGGTATTACTGTCCTACCAAGTGAGCGTGAAGTGGAAACCTTTAATTGTTTTACATGATGGCAGGATTGCTGGTATCTCTTGTGGTCTCAAACACAAGAGATAACTGGTATATCATGGTACTACTACAGTACTTACACTTAAAACACTGCACATGCATGTACATACATATACATACATACACCCATCCGAGTTTCCCTCTATTTTCATAATAGTTCTTGTCCTTATTTATTTCCTCTTATCTCCGTGGGGAAGTGAAACAGAATTCTTCCTCCATAAGCTATGCATGTCATAAGAGGCGACTAAAATGCTGAACCATTGGGCTAGTAACTCCTGTATACATTACTAAATATAAAAAAAAAACTTTCCTGTTTTGTTTTGGGTCACCCTGCCTTGGTGGGATATGGCCAGTTTGTTGAAAGAAGATTTAATAAGTTATTGAAACACAGTGGACCCTCGTCTAATGAATGCATTGCTTAACGTTAAATCTGCCTAACGAAGTGTTCGAGTGTAAAAATTTTTTGCCCAACCTAATGATAAACTTGCCCAATGCGATTCGTCCGGGACCTGTCCACACTGCCCCATGGGTGCCAGTGCTTACAAGCCAGCCAGTGCAGTTGCATCTACACATACATTTGGTACATTTAACATTATCCCAGCATTTTTAGTGCTTGTAACTGCAAAATAAGTCATTATGAACCCCAAGAAAGCTTTAGTGCCAACCCTGTGGTAAAAAAGGGGTGAGAATTAGTATGGAATTGAAAAAAGAGATTAAGGAAATGTGTGCAAAGTGGATTGAACTGCAAACCTTTATGGATGAAAATTACCCTAACACAGCTATTGGAAGCCGTGCTGGTGACTATTACAATGACAATGTGTGGCCCATTTTAGACAAATCTTAAAGGAACGTGAGGTACAGAGCTCTATGGACAGATTTGTTGTGCGACAGAGGTCCAGTGACTCTCAAGCTTATCCTAGTGGCATTAAAAGAAAGGAAGTAACCCCAGAAAAAGGACTTGCTACCTTAAGTCCTCATGGAAGGGGGATTCCTCTTCCAAACAATAACTTCCACCAACTCCCCTCCTCCAATCCCATCAGTCATCACCAGATCTTCAATAGAGGCAAGTGTCATGTATTCTTTATTTAGTAGAGTAGTAATTATGCATGTCTTCTTTTTTTGGTGTATAAAAATGTGTATATTTCATTTGGTAATTTTTTTTTTCATACTTTAGTGTCAGGAACGTATTAATTTGATTTCCATTATTTCTTTTGGAAAAAATTAATTCGGTTAATGATGAGCTCTCAGGAACGGATTAATATCATTAGGCGAGGGTCCACTGTATTTTAGTGTGAAATCTTAGAGAGGTCACATGATTCAAAGTATTTTACTGCTAAAAATAATGGTAGGGGAAAATTACTCAAGAACATGTTAAGAATTCCTTTTAATTTGCTTATTAAAAAACTTGTTTCCACATTTATTTGCAAATACATGTGTATTTTCTTTAATAATGAATCTGGAAACACTAAGATATGTTCAGGTTTTTAATCCAGAGGGTTAGCCACACAGGATTACCCAAGAATGTTTATATGTCATCGAGGACTTATTTCCGTTGGGATACATCGATCTTGTCCCCCAGGATGCCACCCACACCACTTGACTAACACCCGGGTACCTACTTACTGCTAGGTGAGCAGTAACAGCAAGTGTAAGGTGTAGAGTTTGAACCATAAAGAAACAGACCTAGAGCAATCATTAAAACCACAAAAAAAAGTAAAGTAATGAGCCTACGTCAAAGAGCTTAGTGTATAAAAAATGCTCCTTTTAAAAAATGTAATTTAAAATATCTTGAGCTAAATAAAATCTTAATTTATAAACTATTGCAGTCATTAAAAACATTAACTAAACTACCTACTCTGAACTAAGGCAGAAAAATAAGCCATGTTACACCTTAAAAGTTCATAGCTAAGGAACAAATCATTAATTCCCAGTGACATTCCATAACATACAAAAGATTAGATTTTGCCACCGAAGTGGCTAGTTTATTGTGCACCCCATATCCATCCTGTGGACGGTAGCGCAAGAGCATATGGATACACAAAAGGCCTAGGAACTAGGCCCCAAAGTTTAACAGGAATACATATGGATTTATATCTACATATCTATAGTTCACCTAGGTAGTAGGTTGGTAAACAGCAACCACCCAGGGAGGTACTGCCGTCCTGCCAAGTGAGTAAAACGGAAGCCTGTAATTGTTTGTTTTAGACGTTGGTAGGATTGCTGGTGTCTTTTTATTCTGTCTCATACACATGCTACTTCTACTTACACTTAGGTCACACTACATATACATGTACAAGCATATATATACACACACCTCTCTGGGTTTTCTGCTACTTCCTTTCTAGTTCTTGTTCTTGTTTATTTCCTCTTATCTCCATGGGGAAGTGGAACAGAATTCTTCCTCCGTAAGCCATGCGTGTTGTAAGAGGCGACTAAAATGCCGGGAGCAAGGGGCTAGTAACCCCTTCTGTATATATTACTAAATTTAAAAGGAAACTTTTCTTTTTCTTTTTGGGCCACCCTGCCTTGGTGGGATACAGCCAGTGTGTTGAAAGGAGAAAAGATCTATAGTTCACTTATCTGTTACAAGCAAATTTAGGAAATTTGCTTAGTATATCTGGTATCTTATTTTCATTAATAAGATATCTTGACATGCCACATAGGTTATTATACTGTCTATCTCTGTATTCCTCAATAAGTGGACAATTAAGCACAGTGTTCAAGACAGTGACCATATACCTGATCACATAATTTACATTTAGTTTGATCATCATCTGTGTGTCTCCCAAACTGCCAGAAGTACTTGTAACCAAGCCTAAGCCTGGCCACTACAACATCAGTCAGTCTGTTCACACTGCAAGTTGCTCCATAAACATACTTATCTATGTTCATGTTATCATAGTGGGTTATAGACCAACTCAGGCTTCTAACTGCATTCCTATAACAATCATTTTTATTATTTACTTCTCTCCTAATATTATTCCTAACGCTAAACACAGATACCAAAGTTATATTCTACATTCTCTTTCTGGGTACTCTTCTTGGCTAACATATCAACTTTACCATGAAGGAGTAATCCAATGTGTGATGGGATCCATAGCAATTGTACATTAATTCCTTTGTCCCTGATTTTTGAGTATCTATACCTGACTTCTCCAATGAGCATGTTGTTGGAGTCATTATATGAGTTAAGAGCATTCAGTGATGACAGAGTCAGTAATGATGATAGAGTAAAGCTCAGTGTCATAAGTTAGCTTTAGCACCATTAGGATTGCAAACAATTCAGTTTCCAATGTAGACGCCCAGTTGTTAATTCTTATGCCTAGTTCAACAAGTTTATCATCGTTATTAACTAAGAAGGTGGCAACAAGAGCAGATGCAGCCCTGCCAGAAGACTCCTGTTTAGATCCATCAGTGTATATTACTTGTGATAACTTATTACTACCAGCTAGGCGAGAAATTTCTTCTTGAGCAGTTGCTTTAATAAGTGATTTAAGGAAGGGATTACTAGCAATGAGCTTCTTTGGAGGAACTTGCAGGCATGTGATATTAAATGAACATATATTCCATGGAGGGGTGAAATGCTCTTGTCTACAGTGATACAGTTCATGCAGGTTATAAAACTTAATGCAATTGCATGTTTTCACAATCCATTTAGATCTGTGTGTATTTACTTCTAGACACTTAGCAAGGTTCATTGTGACAGTCTCTGGTTCATTTCTTAACATTCTAATACCGAGTAGTGTTGTTATTATTATTATAATAAAAAAAGAAGTGCTAAACCACAAGGGCTA